CAGTGGATTCTTTCAATTTCTATTTTCCCTTCTGGTTCTAAAATATCAGGGCAGTTTTCCTTCATAATTTCTTGTAAGATGATGTCTAGGCTCTTTTTTTGATCATGGCTTTAAGACAGTCCAATAATTTTTAAGTTCTCTGTCATGGATCTATTTTCCAGGTGAGTTGTTTTTCCAATGAAATATTTCACATTATCTTTTCTTTTCTCATTCTTTTGGATTAGTTTTACAGTGCCTTGATTTCTCATATAGTTAGCCTCCAATTGCTCCATTCTACTTTTTAAGGAAGTATTTTCTTTAGGAAGCTTTTGGACTTCTTTTTCCATTTGGCCAATTTTACTTTTTAGGGCATTCTTCTCTTTATTGGTTTTTAGACCTCTTTTGCCATTTGGGTTAGGCTATTTTTTTAAGGTGTTATTTTCTTCAGTATTTTGGGGGGTGTCCTTTAGCAAGCTGTTGACTTGTTTTTCATGATTTTCTTGCATCACTCTCATTTCTCTTACCAGTTTTTCCTCTACTTCTCTACCTTGCTTCTCCAAATCCTTTTTGAGCTCTTCCATGGCCTGGGACTGATTCATATTTTTCTTGGAGACTTTGGATGTAGGAGCTTTGACTTTGTTGTCTTCTTCTGTATGTTTTGACCTTCTTTGTCACCAAAGTAAGATAATTTAGTCTGACTCTTTTTGTGCTGCTTGCTCATAATCCTGGCCAATTACTTGAGTTATAAATTCTTTGTTAAAGTAGGGGTCTGCTTCCAATGTGGAGAATGTACTGTCCCAAGCTTCAGGGGTTTTGTGCAACTGTTTTCAGAGATGCTTCTAGGGACCTGTAAATTTTCAGTTCTTCCAAGGTGCTATAAACAAGGGCGAGGTATTTACTCCTATCCTGGCCTGTGCTCTGTTCTATGAGTGACCACCAGAACTCTTTCCTGTATTGGAACTGCAAGGAGGATTTTCTCTTCACAGCCACTATGAGCTCCATCATGCCAGCACTCCTCCTTGCCCCAGGACCACCACCCAGGACTGTGAACCAGATCCAAGCATCTGCAAAGCAAGAGAATCCTGCACCATCAAAAAGATCCCTGTAATCCCTCTCTGATCAGCCACTCTATTGCCCCTCAGTCTGTGGGCCAGAAGCTCAGGAGGCAGCCACCAGTCCAGGGGTGAGCTCAGGGAATGGAGCTGAGCTCTCTCACGACAGAAACAGACTTTTCACACTGACCTTCTCAGTTGTCTTTGGCATTCATGGGCTAAGAAGTCTGGAAAACACCACAGCTGCCCATGATTCAGTCCTCTGAGGCCTGCTCCAGGTTCATTGAGGCCTGCGCGCCCATGCCGAACTGCGTTCCTCTCCCAGCCTGGCACAATATGACTTCTAATCAACCATCCAGATTGTCTTTGGCTGGAAATTTATTTCACTTTATCTTTTTGTGGGTTCTGCTGCTTTAGAATTTGTTTAGAGCCATTTTTATAGGTAATTGGAGTGGTTTGGGGGAGACTTCAAGCAAGTCACTGCTTTTACTCTGCCATCTTGGCTCTGCCCCCCAGCTTTTTTTGTTTTTTAATAGAACTGTTGCATCAAGAGAAAGATTGCGTCCTATTTTCTCAAATGAGCACAAAGTACACTTTTCACAATCACATTGAAAGAAGGTACAAAGACTGACAGTGACATTGGGGTGAATGTAGCTTTGTAAAAAGAAAAATGCCCAATAAGTCACTGCCCTTTCTGATTCTTGGCAAACTTCATTTTTGCATAAAAGGTGGTTCAAACTTACAAAGAAAAAGCACAGATATTCATAGTTCAGAAGATCTGCAATAGGGTCATAAAATGCTTGTGTCCCCAAGTTTAGGTACACTAATACTTGCAAAAATACAAAATAAAATTGCTAAATACAGTCTGAAGATGTACAGTACAGAGATCTAGTTGTCAGAACAGCATGAATTTAATCCAAGGTGGGTTTTTTGTGTGTAAGATGTTTTTTGTTTTTAACTATTCTAAGCAAGATCCTTTTCCACATATAAAATAAAACTGTTGTTCAATTAACGTTACTCAAGTGTATTGGATTGTTGCCTAAAACTGCAGCTCAGAAAAGTCTTTCCAGATAAAAATGGTGTGCCTGAGGAAAATTAGTTATGCAGTAGGGCAACCCTCTACCTCACCTTCTGCTTATAGATATGCTAATGCATCCCCTGTGTCTTTGGGAATAGCCAGGGCCTTGGGGGCAGTGGGAAGGCCATGTTTGTCTGTGCAGAAGGCCAGAGCCCACTGGGCTTTCCTGTAAGTTGCCCCAGTGGTTGGAGCTGTGCATCTTGGCTGGCAAAGAGTGAGTGCTCTCAGGCTCTATGGCACGGTCCCTGCTATTGGCCAGAACTGCAATTCCACTGTAATTATACTCAAATCTATGGTTTTTGTCTCCACCAAATAACATGGAACCAGTGTTGAAGTAAATATCTCCATACCCAGCTACTGAGCTGGAGAAGGATTCTGAAAAGGCAGGCAACTGAGGGGGCTGCCAGAATGAGATGAAGCCATGCTGTAGGTCTCCAAATACTGTATTTCTAAGTTTGCAATGAAGCTTCATCTTTCTCAGGCTGGGAATAGAGCCACTTCCTAAACCATCATTAACATTAGAGAAAGAAGAGGAGGCAAAATTATTCTTGTCATCTGAACTTGGAACATAGGTATAGACTGCTTGATAAATCATATTTATTTCCATTTTTGGGTCATCCTGGGTCTGATATAGAGCATGGAGCTACAACAGAGCAGCATTCACTCCACCATGAGGGTCAGTCAATGAAGACCTAGGTGTGGGCACATGCAGCTTTTCTGTCTGATAATCCAGATCTTCTTCAAAAGGGAGGGGTGACTGGGATTGGGGGGAATTTTTTTTGAGGGGGAGGCTGGCTTGGAGGCAGGATTCATGGTCACTCTTGTTCTGAGGTTAGCTCCAACATCCTTATCTCTGCGGGTTTGACATGTTCATCTTGCCCTACAAAAGGATGGCTGGGTTCCAGAAGCAGAAGAATTCCTCCTCCAGTCTGTTTTGAAGACTCCTGCTGGGGTGTTGGTGGGATCTGTCTATTTTTGACCAAGTGCTACACTGATGTTGCCCTGACATTTGAGTTGTGTGGTAATTATTTTCTCTGCAACTTCCAATCTTAGAGAGTTGCCTACAGCATTGGGAATTTAATTAAACCAGATAAGATGTGACAGAAATAGGTCTTGAATCTACATCTTCCTGCTTCCAGCTCCATATCCACTAAACTACATTGCTGCCTCTTTTTTTTTAACTAACATTTCAGGGAAATTCCATAATTGACCTATGACCATTGGAAAATGGACAATGTACCTAAGGGTTGAAGTAGGAAGGGAGTTTTCAAGCCATTCAGACAAAGGTAGATATGATATGTCAATGTATCACTAGAAGAGGAAAAGGAGGCATTGGAAGGGAAATGGGAGGTAGGGGCAAAGAAGGGGCATGAAGTTTCTCTGGACACCAGTTCTGGCTGAAATGTTCCACATAACCTCATAGTTTCTAGGGCAGTGGAGGAAGGGGAAGAGACATCCAACTTGGGACCAGCTGTGGCTATGGTTTATAACGTATAAGAGGAGTTGCCAAACTTTTTGTCCTCAGGACTCCTTTATATTCTAAAGATTATTGAAAACTTCAATAAGCTTTTCTTTTTTGTGGGTTATGTCTAGCAATATTTAACATATTGGAAATGAAAATGTCTTAGCATTATTATGAAAATAGTTTTGGCTTGAAAGACCCTAGGAAAGGGTTTTGGGATGTGATTTTGAGCTCCTAGGGATGCAGGGAGTAAAACTTATCCATACCTGACTGACAACCTCTTTATATCATCCCCTCAAAATACTTCTCCAGAGGTCATTTGAAGACCTCAAGTAAGGAGAAACCCATCAGCTCAAGAGGCAGCCCATTCTACTCTTGGTTAGAATAAGTTTTTAACATTTCCTTACAATGAGCCAGAATCTACCTCTGGAATGTCCATTCATTATTTCTAGTTCTTCCATCTGGGACCAAGAAAAACTACAAGTCTAATCTGTCTTCCACATGATAGCCCTTCCAAAACCTGAAGACAATTATTAGGTCCAACCCAATCCAACCCAAATCTTTTCTTCTCCAGACTAAATAACCTCAGGTACTTCAACTGATGATCATCTTATATCATGACCTTGAAGCCATTCACCGTTATGCCATCAACAGCCGGCTTGAAAAACAAACAGGCAAGGCTTTGAAATCAAGAACTTAATCCCAAATGGCTATTTATATGGTCATTGGTCTATTGCCCGCTGCAAATCAGAATTCCACCACCTGGCAGACATATATACACTTGTCAGAATGAGAAGAGTTGTATATGAGAGAGTGAGGATAATATCACTTCATCATACAGGCACCATGTTTTTCTAAGAGGACATTATAATGACCAAGAATTTAGTTTGAGGTATTTTTAGGATCTGTAAGAGACATGCTATCAGATCCCTAAATCTTGATGTCAAGTAGAAGTTGAGAGAGTGACTTTGGGAGGACAAATAGGAGCTTGAAGAACCATCGAGGATCCAAAGAAATGTTCTCCAGGATGTTCATCTGAATTAAGAGGTTCTGTCATTCAACTATGAGGATCCGACTTCAGGAGAATGTGCTATTACAGATAACTGAAGCTCTGATCCAAGGCAAGACCAAACCAATGTGACTAAAAATTATAAATATCTTTAAAAAAAAATCAACCTCCTGAAACTGGAGAGAAGAGTCCTTGCGAATGGGTGTGGTCAGCAGAGAATAAGTCCAAGAGAGCTCAATGGTCCCTGACCATGAAGAATTGCAAAGCAGGGATCATTACCACAGGGAGTAAACCAACTCTTGCCCACAAGACAACCTGAAACTTTACCTGGAAGGGATCTTCCTACATTTGTTTAGATAATATGGCAATGTACTGTCCCCAAATTGTCCTCATGCAAATACCCCACAGAAATAACTCCTGGAAAATTACAAATATGAACTTTTATTATTTAAAGCATATAATCTAGTAGAATGAGAACAAATATTGAACTACATTTTCTCATCTTCTGAGTCAATGTCTTTCTTTTACCTTCTCTGGTCATTATAATTTGGTCACTCCATTTATCCCATCATTATCTACTGAATATGCTCTGTACTAGGCAGATTAAATTCTGACACATTTAGCCAACAGTAATTTAGCAGGAAGGATGACATTATAATAGAAAAAGTGTTGGACTTGGAGTGAGGAGAGATGCAGATTTGAATACTATTCTGTACATTTACTAAGTATATGACAATGAGTAACTTATTTAGTCTTTTTCAGTCTCAGTTTCCTCATCTGTAAAATGGAGATGATACCTGCCACAGTCTCACAAAGTTTCTGGGAAGAATGGCTTTGTAAATTCTAAAAAGCTCTATAAATGAGTTACCATCATCACCATCACCATTATTTTTAGTATCATTAACAACCAATGAAAGAATTCTGTAAGCTTCAGTAAAGGAATAATGAGATAGGTCATCTTATTATAGCATAGGAACTCTCTGAGCAACTCCAACCTTTAGGCTGAGTGAATATGAAAATAATTGTATATGATTTCATCTCCTTACCCTTGGAATATTCATTAATATAAGGAGATAAATGCCAAAAGTCAATTAGATTAGCTAATATGAAGTGTTTCTTGATGTCATTAGTAATGGAAACGTGGATGAGGTCCAGGATCCAGTTGGTACCTTGTTCTCTTTTATTAGAAAAAAATATTTTTTTCAATGGATGAAAATCTACTTTCTCTCCTTACTGCCTCCCTTCCCTCTCATGTGAATTGAGAAATAAAGAAAAATAAAACCTACTACAAACATATATAGTGAAGCAAAACTTATTTGAACATTGCCCAAATTAAACAAAAATGAGACATATCTCAATCTGTACTCTGAACTCAACACCTCTTGTAATTAGGAGGTATGCAACATGTTTCATCACGTATCTTTTGGAATTGTATTTAGTCAATGTGTTATTTAGAGTTCCTAAATATTTCAAAAATATTTTTTTTGCAATACTGTTGTCATTGAATAAATTGTTCTAGTACTGATCACTTCACTTCGAATCAATGCCTACAAGTCTTCCCAGCTTTCTATGAAACTATCCCCCTCATAATTTCTTATAGTACAATATATAATATAGTATTCCATCACATTCAAATACAATAACTTCCTTAACCACTCCCCAAATGATGTGCACTTTCTAAATTTCCAATTCTTGAACGCCACAAAAAGGACTGCTCTAAATTTTTTGTACATCTGGGTCTTCTTTTTTTAAATCTCTTTCAGGATATATATCTAGCTATGATATTGCTGAGTCAAAGAGTATAGACAGTTTAATAGCTTTGGTGGCATAGCTCCAATTTGCTTTCTAGGATGTCTGGACCTGTTCTCACTTGTTCTCAATGCACCAACAGTGCATTAATGTACATGTTTTCCTACAGCCCTTCCAGCATTTATCATTTTCTTTTTTGTCAGCTTTGTAATTTGATATGTATGAGATGGAACTTCAGAGTTGTTTTAATTTGCATTTCTAAACTTATTAGTAATTTAGGGCATTTTTATATGGTTATTGATAGTTTGGATTTTTTTTCCCTGGAAAATGTTTGTTTCCTTTGAACATATCAGATGGAGAATGGTTCTTATTCTTATATATTTGAATCAGTTCACTATATATCTTAGATATGAGATCTCTAGTAGAGAAACCTGCTGCAAAGATTTTTTTCCCCGTTTACTGATTCTTTTCTAATGCCAGCTGCACTGGTTTTGTGTACACAAAAACTTTTAAATTTTATATAAACAAAACTGTCCATTTTGATATAGTGTTTTTAAAGAGAAGGAATGGGAAGCAGAGCTGAATTCCTAGTACAAGCTTTGCTCTGTATTCCTTCCTTTCCTCCAGATCTTCATGGAAGAATTCCCAAGGCAGTAACAGACCTTTTTTCTCTCAATTTTCACAGAAAAGAGGTCCTATTCCTTTATTTGTAGATCAATCAGGGAATTTTTCATGATAAAGTATTGACAATTATCTTTATTCTTGAATATCTGAGTTGTACAACTGATTCAGGAGAGCTGAATTGAGAGGACTGAGGGTTGAGGAGAATTGAGAAAAATCCCAGGATTGAGGATTGAGGATTAATAGAAGAAGCTAGAGTATAGAGTGAAAGATGGTTTTCCTTAAGCCTTAAATATGTTTTGAATGGTAGAAACCCCTGATTTCATGATATCTATAATTCTTTCAACGAATTTATTTTGGCTCAGAACCTCATCTCTGGCAAATCTTTGCTTGTTTGCATAGATTTCTTCTTTTTCTGAAAGATTCCTAAACATATTTTCTTTTCTTTCTTTTTGCTCCAGTTCATTCTTTAAGTTTTGGATTTCTTCTTCATATTCCTGTCTTATTTCTTTTTTTAGTCTTTCCAGGTCTTGCTCATAGGATCTTTGTAATGCTTCAATTGCTTTCTGAATCTTCTCCTCAGCTAGTTGATACATCTGGTTTGTGTAGCAAGAGCCTCCATTATTCTGTAATACTTTCTCAACGAAATGCAGAAGGTCTCTTAGCTGGGCTTCTTGCTCACTTGCAGTTGCTCGGTTGTTGAATGCACAGTATCTTCCATCAAACTGGCCTATTAGGGCTTTCAAAGCTTCATTCTTAGTTTCACGTAAATATTGATTCAAATCAGCACCTTCCAAATCATCCTTCCGGGTCAATAAAAGGATCATGTATTCCTTGGCTTTGGAACCAAAAATTCCCAGGATCTTCTTTACTGCATCTTGTTCCTCCTTGGTGTAACGAGTAAGTGGCACCACCAGGATGATGGCATGAGGCCCAGGGGAGGACATAATGAGGCAGCGGCTGATCTCCTTTGAAGTGTCCACATCAGACACATCAGTGTCAAAAATCCCAGGAGTATCCACAACTACAATTTCTCTCTCATTCCACAATCTGCTTGTTTTTTTACAATTCTTGGTCACCGATTTTGCTGCTAGTCTTGCCTCAAATGCTTGTTTTCCAAGGATGCTGTTCCCTGTTGCACTTTTCCCAGCTCCTGTTTTACCCACCAGGACAAGTCTCAGTTGCTTTTTGCTGAGGTCTTGGTTTCCATAACCTGAGGTGTGGGTAATGAGAGTGACAATGTTAAACTCTACCTTCAACTGTTATCCTTTCAGTCCCTCTTCCCACCCAGTATAGCCATGTCTCTACTCTATACTCAGTCTCTACTGAGGCTTCAGCCTCTGAGTCACATGCACTCTGGCATTAGGTTCTTCTCTAGCAAGAAGCATGCTAAAACTCCGGCTCAGAAATAGGTTCACCTTTTAGTTATCTGGTGGTAATAGTGGTGAGGCTTTTGTTGATCTACCCTCACATGTTTCCGTTTAATTACTTAACTCACAGAGTTATTACAAGGAATGAATGAGGTAATGTATATAGAGCTTGTCACTAGCCTTAAAGTAGTCTACAAATTTTAGCTAATATTCTTATTGTAGTGGTTATTATTCTATCTAACCCCCCCATTACCTTTGAAAGCATATAGAATTGTGCCTCTGGAGATATTAAGAAATAATCTTTTAACTATTTTTACATCTGAAATCCTTAAAACAAAAGATCTAATCTGTTTCTTTTTAATTTTTTTTTAAAAAATTTTAATTACACATAAAATAATTTTTAACAATTTTTAAAATTTTGAGTTCCAAATCCTTTCCCTGCCTCCCTCCCATTTCCCCTCCTTGAGAAGGCAAGCAATTTTACATAGATAATACATGTACCACCATACAAAACATTCCCATATTAACCCTATTGTGAAAGAAGATACAGGTTAAAAAATACAAGAAAAATAAAGTTTTAAAAGTATGATTCAATCTGTGTTCAAACTCCATCAGTTCTTTGTCTGAAGGTGGCTAGCATTTTTCATCATATGTTCTTCAAATTGTCTTAGATCATTGTATTGCTGAGAACAACTAAATCATTCATAGTTGATCATCTTACAATAATGTTGTTATTGGGTACAATGTTCTTATTCTGTTCACTTCATTTTGCATATTTATATGTATTCCCAGGTTTTTGGGAAAACATCCTGCTTGTCATTTCTTATAGTACAATAGTATTCCATAACAATTGTATATCATAACTTGTTTAGCTGTTCCCCAAATGATTGGAATCTCCTTGATTTCTAATTCTTTGACTCTATAAAAGAAGCTTCTATAAATGTTTTTTACAAAGTTTCTTTTTTTACATCTTTGGGATACTAGCAGTGGTATTGTGGGGTGAAAGGGTATATTCAGTTTTATAGCCTTTTGGGCATGGTTCCAAATGGCTCTACAGAATGGCTGGATCAGTTCATAACTCTACCAAAAATGCATTAGTGGACCAATTTTTCCACATTCTCTCCAGTATTTGTCATATCAGGGTAGTTTTCTTTGGCAATTTTTTGAAATGTGATGTCTAGGTACTTTTTTAAAATCATGTTATTGCTGAGTCATTTTTCAGTCATGTCCTACTTTGTGACCCCATGTGGAGTTTTCTTGGCAGAAATGATACTTGAGTGGCTTTGCATTTTCTTCTCCAGCTCATTTTACAGATGAGGAAACTGAGCCAAACAGGATTGAGTGATTTGGCCAGGGTCACTCAGTTTGTAAGTGTCTGAGGCCAGATTTGAACTTAGGAAGATGAGTCTTCCTGACTCCAGGACTGATTCTTTATCTACTGTATCACTTAGCTGCCTTTTCAAAAAAAATAATGAATTTGATAATGAGTACAACAATTCTTAAATTATCTCTCCTTGATTTGTTTTACAGGCAAGTTGTTTTTCCAATGAGGTGTTTACATTTTCTTCTTTTTTTCATTCTTTTGACTTTGTTTTATTGCTTTCTAATGTCTCATGGAGTTATTATCTTCCACTTACACAATTCTCATTTGCAGGGAATTACTCTTTTTCAGTGAGCTTCTGCACCTCCTTTTCCATTTAGTCAATTTTACTTATTAAGGAGTTCCTTTCTGCAGTGAATTTTTTACATTTTTTTCCAGTTGCCCGATTCTGCTTTTTAAGAATTTCTTCTCTTCATTGGATTTTTGTGCCTTTTTTAGACATCTAACCAATTCTGTTTTCAAGATGTTATTTTCTTCAGGATTTTTCTGCCTCTTTTGGCAAACCATTGACTCTCTTTTCATAATTTTCTGGTGTCATTGCCATTTCCTTCCTTAATTTTTCCTGTACTTCTCTTACATGATTCTTAAAATCCTTTTTGAGCTCTTCCACAAATTATTTTTGGGTCTTTGATGAATTTACATGTTTCTTTGAAGCTTTGCATGTAGCAATTTTGACATTATTTTCTTCTTCTGAGTCTGTATCTTGATCTTCCCTGTCACCATAGTAACTTTCCAGTGTCAGGTTCTTTTTGTGTTGCTTAATCACTTTTTTAGCCTATTTCTTGACTTTTATCTTTAGGTTAACATTGGGTCCTGCTCTTGGGATGGAAGAGGTACTGTCTTTAGCTTCAAGCTGTTCTTGCTGCTGTTTTCAGAGCTAGCTCTGGGGAGGAGGGGTGTTTGGTTTTTCCAAGATGATATGATCTAAGGAGTGGTAGGGTGACTAGTCTCCTGCTTTGTGTTCTAGTCGTTGAGCAATCACAGGCACTCTTCTACATCTTAGAACTGTGACCAGGGCTTTGTCATTCTTGCGAATACAAGTGCTAGTGAGCTAGTGCTCCTCTTAGCTCTAGGACTGCAACTGAGAGCTGTATATGCACAATGCAAAAGAGTCCTGCACCCAGTGCCAACAAAGGACCTCCTATGACCTCTTCCTTTCTTTTTTTGGTATACATTTATTTTTAGTTTTCAACATTTACTTCCACAAGATTTTGAGTTCCAAATTTTCACTCCATCTCACCCCTCCCCACACCCCAAGGCGGCATGCATTCTGAATACCCCTTCCCCTAATCTGCCCTCTCCTCTACCTCTGCTCCCCCCCTTCTCTTATCCCCTTTCCCTTCTATTTTCCTGTAGGGCAGGATAGACTTCTATACCCCATTTCCTCTATTTCATATTTCCTAGTTGCATGTGAAAACATTTTTTTAAACATGTGTTTTTAAAACTTTGGGTTCCAAATTTTCCCCTTTCCTCCCTTCCCACCCACCCTCATTGAAAAGGCAAGCAACTCAGTATAGGTTATACATGTGCAGTTATGCAAAACACTTCCATAGTAGATACGTTGTGAAAAACTAACCTTATTTCCCTTAATCCTATCCTGCCCTCCCATTTATTCTATTCTTTCTTTTGACCCTGTCCCTCCTCAGAAGTATTTGCTTCTGATTACCCCCTTTCCCAATCTGCCCTCCTCTCTATCATCCCCCTGCTCTCTTGTCTCTCTTTCCCCTCCTGTTTTCCTGTAGGGTAAGATAGATTTCCATACCCAATTGAATATGTATGTTATTCTCTCCTTAAGCCAAATCCTATGAGAATAAGATTCACTCATTCCCTCTCACCTTCCCCCATTTCCCCTCCACTATAAGAGCCTTTTCTTTTCTGTTTTTATTTTGGTGAGATAATTTACCCCATTCCACCTCTCCCTTTCTTCTTCTCCTAGTATAATCCTCTCTCATCCCTTAATTTTATTCTCCAGATATGACCCCTTAATCTTCAACTTGCCCTGTGCCATCTATCTATCTATCTATCTATCTATCTATCTATACATACATAATTTTTTTCCCCTAACTACCCTAATACTGACAAAGGTCTCATGAGTTATAAATCATCTTTCCATGCAGGAATGTAAACAGTTCAACCTTAATAAGTCTCTTATGATTTCTCTTTCCTGTTTACCTCTTCATGTTCCACTTGAGTCTGTATTTGAAAGTCAAATTTTTATTCAGCTCTGGTCTTTTCATCAAGAATGCTTGAAAGTCCTATATTTCACTGAATGACCATTTTTTCCCCCGAAGGATTATACTCAGTTTTGCTGGGTAGGTGATTCTTGGTTGTAATCCTATCTCCTTTGCCCTCCGGAATATTATATTCCATGCCCTGTGGTCCTTTAATGTAGAAGCTGCTAAATCTTGTGTTATCCTGATTGTGTTTCCACAGTACTTTAATTGTTTCTTTCTGGCAGCTTGTAATATTTTCTCCTTGACCTGGGAACTCTGGAATTTGGCTACAATATTCCTAGGAGTTTTCCTTTGGGATCTCTTTCAGGAGGAGATTGTGGATTCTTTCAATTTCCATTGTGTCCTCCGGTTCTAAAATATCAGGGCAGTTTTCCTTCATAATTTCTTGAAAGATGATATCTAGGCTCTTTTTTTGATCATGGCTTTCAGATAGTCCAATAATTTTTAAATTCTCTCTCCTGGATGTATTTTCCAGGTCAGTTGTTTTTCCAATGAGATATTTCACATTGTTTTCTATTTTTTCATTCTTTTGGATTTGTTTTACAGTGTCTTGATTTCTCATAAAGTCACTAGCTTCTAATTATTCTAATTTTTAAGGAAGTATTTTCTTCAGTAATCTTTTGGACTTCCTTTTCCATTTGGCCAATTTTGCTTTTTAGGGCATTCTTCTCCTCATTGGCTTTTTGGACCTCTTTTGCCATTTGGGTTAGGCTATTTTTTAAGGTGTTATTTTCTTCAGTATTTTTTTGGGTCTCCTTTAGCAAGCTGTTGACTTGTTTTTCATGATTTTCTTGCATCACTCTCATTTCTCTTTCCAGTTTTTCCTATACTTCTCTTACTTGCTTCTTAAAATCCTTTTTGAGCTCTTCTAAGGCCTGGGACTGATTCATATTTTTCTTGGAGGCTTTGGATGTAGGAGCTTTGACTTTGTTGTCTTCTTCTGGTTGTATGTTTTGATCTTCTTTGTCACCAAAGTAAGATAATATAGTCTGACTCTTTTTGCGCTGCTTGCTCATGATCCCAGCCAATTACTTGAGTTTTGATCTCTTTGTTAAGGTAAGAGTCTGCTTCCAATGTGGAGAATGTACTGTCCCAAGCTTCAGGTGTTTTGTGCAGCTGTTTTCAGAGATACTTGTAGGGACCCGTAAATTTTCAGTTCTTCCAAGGCTGTATGATAAGGGGCGAGGTGTTTACTCCTTTCCTGGCCTGTGCTGTGGTCTATTAGTGA